GCATGTGGTGCTGGGGGATTGAACCGCGGTCCCTGTGCTTTGCTAAGCTTGTTCTAAGTAGGTGCTTTAGACCACTGAGCCATCTCGCCAGCCCCCCTTCCAACATATTTAAAATGTTTCTTTAAATCATTTATTTGGTACAGGGGCTCACTATGCAGCTCGGACTTGTAGTGATTCTCCTGTCTCAGTCTCCCTAATACTGGGATAACAGGTGTGTGCCACCACACCCGGTTTTGGTGGCTGGCACCATAGCACGGCATACAGTACTGGGGATTGAACCCAGATCCTAGCCCTTGCCAGGCAGGTGCTCAAACTGCTGAGCTATATCCCCAGAACCTCCAACATATTTTAATATGACAGATAAACTGTATATCTGTGTTTTCAGGTACATTTGAATTTTGGAGGGCTAAAAAACATCAAAATAGTTGATATCCCTCCTCAAATTCCACTCCCTATAGTCACCTTTCATTTCCTTGGGGATGATACTGCCTCAAATAAAAATTTGAGATTAAATCACTTGTCAGTCCAATTATTTAAATACAGGATGACCAAAAATTGCATACTGTTAATTTTTATGGGGGCCTGCCCATTAGCTCAGTTGTTTAAGTGTCTGCTTAGACAAAGCAGTGAGGCTCAGGATGCGGTGGTTCGATCCTCAGATCCTCAAGCCAAACCAGACCTGCCCTAAAGGCATCCTGAGGCCTCAAAAAAAAAAAAATCCTTCTGTTAATTTTTATAAGATAATGGCAAATAGAAAATAAATAGGACAATTTTATCCTATTTATTGAAAAAAATTTCTGTGTATATCTTAAAACATTCCATATATAACCCAATGTTGCAATCTGGATAATAGTAGCTAGTCTCATTGTGAATTTTTTTTTGTGTGTGTTGTTATCTTTCTGTGACCAACACTTTACACAATCATGTGGTATGTTCCTTTTTTTTCTGTGGATGATCTAATTTCAATAAAATGTCTACTCACTAAACGTAATGGTAAAGAAGATGTCAATAATGGATGTCCTGGTTGTTTTTCTTCTTTTTTTAAAATGTATTTGGTTGTTGCAGGGTCTCATAGTGCAGCTTGGACTTGTGGTGATCCTCCTGCTTTCAGCCTCCCCAGCACTGGGATTACAGGGATGTGCCACTACACCCAGACTCTGACTGGCTCAGTCTACCCTGGGGGCAGAGCTGTCAAGGCATGAGGTTCTAGGGATTGAACCATGGTCTCTGTACTTGCCTAAGCAGGCACTCTAGTCCACTGAGCTATCTCGCTGGTCCCATGGTTGGAGTTTTGTTATTGTCTATTTTTCAATTATTAGGTCTGTTAGACCTAATCTAAATTGTAAATGACTTTTTGAACCTCTATGTTTTGAATAAACAACAAATGTGTTCCAAATTGTTTGGTCCAGGAAGTGCAAGAATATTTTATAATAATAATTTTCCTTTCCTCACAGGGTAGCTTGGTAGGTGTTGGTTAACTCTGTCAACAACACTCATAGAATTATTATCATTGATCACTATTGGAATATTTTTTAGCTTTATTTCTTCTGTTCTATCATTTATGTGTTATTGATAGTTGAGAATAAGAAAATGTCTTTTTTGTCTTTCCATTTCACAATATAGACTTCCTCTCTGATATACAACAGTTCTCTCTTTAAGAAAGTTGTTTTGCAGGTCTTTTGGCACTTCCTTTGTATTCAGTCTCAGTGTCTCAAGTGTGTCTATTTTGTATTGTAAAAGAATATCATTGAGTTCTGGAGAAGTATAAAAATTATATCTAATATACTTACAATAAATTTTTTTTCCACACTTACAATAAATTTTTATAGATTGTAGCACAAAATTGTAGGTTATTTTTCACAAATAACACAAATTCATAAAAAAAATCAGACACAGTAGATTTCACTAGAAGGAAACATCAAAAGGGAATACATGGGGCTGGTGAAATGGCTCAGTGGTCTAAAGCACCTATTTAGAACGAGCTTAGCAAAGCACAGGGACCGTGGTTTAATCCCCCAGCACATGTCAGCCCCGCCCCCTGGTGGGCTGAGCTGGCCACACATACACACACACATAAATAAATAAAATTAAAAAAAAAAAAAGGGAATACAACGCTGCGCCAGCCCTGCCCCTGGGGTGCACTGAACCAGCGATTGAGACTGGGCATGGTAATTCACACCTGTAATTCCAGGACTTGGGAGGCTGAAAACAGGAGAATTACTACAAGTCCAGTCTACGTAGTGAGAACCTGTACCCTCTGTAGACCTCGTCCTTAAAAAAAAAGGGCGGGGGAGACAACTTACTAGGTTAAAAAAAGTATGCAAGAAATAATTATATAAAACAGACATATGAGTGTATCTTGTGCTAACAAGAATCAACTGGTTGAAATGATGCCTGAGCAACAGGATAGTTTGTAAACAAAAGCACTGCCTAAATCACACTTGGGGTAAACCGGTAAGTAGTTGAAGTGGTTATCAACCTAGAGTGATTTTTGTATTTCCATATTCTGACTTCCAGGAGATATTTGACATTATTTGGAGACATTGTTGATTGTCACAACTGGAAGTGTCACAATTGGTTTCTAGTGGGTGAAGGCCAGAAGATGCTTGAGTATCCTGCATTGTGTAGGACAGAAAGAAGCATTCATGCCCCCCTTCAAAGAATCATCCAGTCAAACATGTCAGAGATTCTGGGGCTGAGTAAATGATTGAGAATGTGTACTCTGCTTAACATACTCATTGCAGTATCTTTGAGAATTTTTTTCATTCTTTTGAGTACCAGTGTGGTGCTTGTGATTTAAGACATTCTTTGTCATGGAATGCCCTTATTTCTCCATCAATTTTTGAAAACTGTCTTTTAGGATATATTGGTCTGGTTTCATTTTCCTAGTTTGACATATTTCAAGTTTTCCTGGTCTTTAAATTTTCTTTTGGCAAGTTTGTATTCCCAACGAGTTTACCTTTGAAAATGATTTGTACTTTTCTCTAACAGCTTTTAAGATTGTGTCCTTATTGGACATAATGGGCTTTTGACTGGAATGTCTTGTGGAGTTCTTTTCTGGTTGTGGCTATTTTAGGTTTTATATTCTTTCTTTAGCTATGTGTTGAATTCTTTCTCTATACTTGGAAAGTTTTTCACTCTGAGTTTTTTAAACAGATTGTTGGGGCTGGGGAGATGGCTCAGTGGAATAAGTGCTTCCCTGGCAAGCACATGGACCTGAGTTCAATCCCCGGTTCCGCCAAAAACAAAAACAAAAACAAACCCAACAGATTGTTGAATTTTGTGTGTCTTTTGACTTTTCTCTAACTTTAGTTTTTGGTTTTTTTTGTGCAGTGTCTCACTATGCAGCTTGGACTCATAGTGATCTTCCTGTTTTCAGCCTCCCCAGTGGTGGATCTAACTTGAATTAGTCTTAGATTAATCTTTTTTTTTTTTTTTTTTTTTATTTAGATTCATTTAGTAGCTACTGGATCAGTGTTCCTAGTTTTTAATGCATCTTTAAGGATGTAATCTCTAAGGATGTGATCAAGTGCACATCTGGTAACTCTTCTTACTAGTTCACTTGTGCTGCTCATTGTTTTGGTAGAATTTTTTTCTCCAGAATTTCTATTTGGCATCTTTTTATGAACTGTAATTCTTTGGCAAATTTGTCATTCATGCTTTGAATAATTTTTTATTGTAATATTTTATTTGAAAATAAAAGAAATTCTAATATTTTCTTTACTCTTATTGATTAGTTTCTTTAGATCTCATCTTTTTGGCTGTATGATATTTAAGCTTGCTGAATTTGTTTCCTCTTTGATGATTTCAAGTAAGGTAACCGCCTGCATTTTTTTGTCCTCATCAGTGCCTTTTGTGCTTTGGAGAAATTGGCAGTTTTGGGAGACATTTTGTTGCCTTCCTTCCTTCCTTCCTTTTTTTTCTTTCGTGTGTGTGCCTATGATTGAGGATCAGTTGCAGTGGAGAACATGTGGCTAGTATGGAGGTCATTTTAGCTAATGTCTGCTTTCTGGTATATATATTTTGGATATCTGGTAGATATCTTGGATTTCTTTCATTTTTGGTAGTGTGTCCTCAGCTTAAATAGGATTAGACGCAGATACTGTATTACAAGAGGAGAGTTCTTAGAGGTCATAACAGTGTCAACAGATCCAACCATGTACTTGAAAACATAAAAATTTCAGTGTTTTATCAGTGCCAATTACAGACTGGACTGTACTGCTATCAACAATTAGATTGGGATGTGGAAGGACGGAGTAAAATGGAAGAGAAAAAGGAAGGGAGTAAATCAGGGACAAGAGATGTAAGGAAATAACATGAAAAAAATAGGTGATCAGATACCATTGGGGTTATCTTTGTGAAGAAAAGGGCTAGTATTGTTGAGGTTTGAGGGAAGACTTGTAGGAGTAGGAGCAGGGATGCAGAGAGAGAAAGGTGTTGAGGGGAGAATGAGATTGTTTAAGCCTCTGAATATGTTTACAGTTAGTGTTTGGATCTTGTATGCCCAGTTTTCGTAAGGTTTATTGTGACATGTCCTTGAAATGTACTGTTTACTGGCTAATTCTTACTCCTTTTTGCACTTGTATGTGCATCCTTGTTTTTCTTCAGTGCATCATTTAGAGTCCCTTTCTTATTCTTCCCTCTAGTTGAACATGATCTCTCCTATAAGTTTGAATTTTGTTTTTTCTGCATTTTAGCTTATATCTTTGGATACCCAGTAGAGAAGTAAAAGAATTTTGGCATTGAGCCTTTGTTAGAATTAAGTAAGTTATTGTAGATAGAGTGCTTAAATTATTGTATGTAAAGTGCTTATTGACATAGAATAAGTGCTTAATAAATGGTAAGCTTTATTCTGATCTACTTAGCATGCTTTTCTTAACAAATTGAATAATTTTGCTTTGTCTTTGTAGATTTATGGTGGATTATTTTCTGAAGATAAATGTTGGTACAGATGTAAAGTATTGAAGATCGTCAGTGATGAAAAGGCAGGAAATTCTATTTCTAAAATTTGATGCTTATTTAGTCCAGCACAGCTTAATCATAGTAGTCATAAGGTCTGATTTAGTGAAGTTATAATAAGGTCTGATTTAGTGAATTTATAAATTTATTAAAACAAAAAATAAATTTATTAAAACACATTTCCCTCCCTACTGAACAAGAAAGATTAATTCTTAGTCACCTTAGATTGTCTTAATAATAAATGATATAATTTGCAGATTACTTTGGAGGTGATTAGTTGGTTCTTTGTACCTCAGTTCTTAATGATTACATTTGGTTCTTGCTAATGAGTAACTTTGAAAGTTCATTTTATGGAGACGCTTGAGTAGGAAAAGACATTTGATCATGAAGTTAGACATCTGCTTTATTTAGTTATGAGTATTAATAGTAAAGGTTGATGGCTACGTTATTTTTTATTTTTATTTTTTCTGAATTTTAGGGAAGGGTCTACAGGGTGTTCAGGATCTCACTGCTAGATTGGACTCATAGTGATTCTCCTGTTTTATAACCTCCCAAGGACTGGGATTACAGGCATGCGCCCCCATGCCCAGTCTCAGTCGCCATCTGAGCGCCCTGGGGGTGTGGCTGGCATGGCAGGCCCAGATGGAACGATACTGGCCCCTGTGCCTGCTTGCAGGCATTTTACTTTTTTATTTTTTATTTTACTTCATTTTTTCCCCATAATTTTATTGAGAAATAAACAGCAATGAAACAGTTTCAAATCAAATTGGTAGGACAGTTCCAATAATTAACACATTGCATACTGCCTTCCTAGTGGTTATTTGTTGTACAAGTAGTAGACATGATAATATCCTATTTACAAAGACTATTAGAACAAATCGCTCTATTCCTTGAATTAAGAGAATGTAGCTACATATCTATCCTAACCATTTTGAATACACAGATACAAAATGGTCATTCATCTATATTCCCTTTTTTTATTTAGTTCCATCATTTAAATATTATAGGTGTGTGAACTCAGCAAAATATTCCAAAAATAGTCCAATAGCCCATAATAGTATTGGGTCTTTCGCTTGACTGGCAGTCTCAGAAGTTGTTGACCTGAGTCCCTTACAGCTCAACAAAACAACATGGCTTTATTTCTTGTACTTCGTTTTTATACTTTTCTGCTGGATGGTTAAGACCAAGATAGAGCAAGACCTATGTAACAAGAATTGTAGTTTGCAGGCATTTTAATCCGCTGAGCTATTTGGTCAGCCCTCTGCCTAGGTTAAATGAAATGAATTTTCTTTGTGTTAAGCTTCCTTATTTTTTATTTTGTGGAAAATTTTTAACAGAATTTGGGAAGATGAGATTCTTAATAGCTGGTTGTAACTGCACATTGTAGGTCATATACAAACATTTTTTAGGCTTTTATTTTTTGACATCTGCTTTGTGGACTTCAATATGTTTTATAAGATGTATATTTTATAAATATTTTCCTTGGTGTAATAAAGTGATAGGATGAAATATTTTTATGAATATTCTGGCTTACATTTTTAAAAAACTATTATTATAATAGATGATTTGTTTTAGTGAAATAGACATTTTTAGTAGAATTTTTCCACATAATTTAACAGTCAAGATTTTATTTTACATTTCTTCTTGAGTTGTCTTTTTAAATTTGGGGGCAAGATGACATTTGACTTTGTAAAACTTCTAAAAGTTTATTAGCTGGAGGTAAGAGTAAATTTGATCAGTTTGAGTCTCCCTGAAAGTGATCAAAGGAAATTTGATAACTTTGCTTTTCTTTTTAGATTTTATGGTTTTCCAACTTGTATTTAATGTTAATGGATTTTAACATTAGAAGTGATAAAGGAAGGCTATAGTTTAATAAACTTATGTGTTTATTTTTAATACCAATGCTTTAAAAAAACCCAACAAAGTGAGAAGTGGTACCATTGGAACTTAATGCCTAATGTAGAAGTTACTGATTACATGTATTTTCCTTATTTTGAGGATATTACTGGAGCTCTGTTTCTGAATCTGTTTTGTTAATTTAAGGTAAAGTGCTATCTCAATTCATAGCTGATTAACAGAAAGCAAAAAGTTGTGGTTTCTTTGAAGATACCTAATTGAAGTGCAATGTTAGTATTTATGTACAATTTTTTTTGTAGTGTTTGGTGCGTTATATTGACTACGGAAATACTGAAATTCTAAACCGATCTGACATAGTAGAAATTCCATTGGCACTGCAGTTTTCTAGTGTTGCCAAAAAATATAGACTTTGGGGACTACAAATTCCTTCTGGCCAAGAAGTCACCCAGTTTGATCAGGTAACAAATTTTAAATATTCTTGTAAAGGAAAATAAAACTGAAAAATTTGAGTACTTTATAGTTAAATCTCATTAACTGAGTTTAATATAAAAACCTTAAAATAATGAAAAACATGAATTATAAAGTAATTCAGAGCTGGGGGATAGCTCACTGGTAGAGCACTTGCCTAATATGTGCAAGGTCCCTGGCATGAGACACACGTAAAACATAAAATAATTAAAAAGCAGTTATATAACTGTGCTCATCTTTGCTAGGTAAGTATTTCTGATGAATAGGTATGAGTGATACTTGAAATATATATGAGTGTGTATGTATTAAATAAAATGTGAATAGTTCCTTATGGTGTAAAAATTTAAAATGATTGTAATTGTATGATTGAGGAAAATAATGCATATGGTTACTCTGTTATGATTTGTTTTTGTAAAGCTACTAAATAAAAATGACCTTTAATCTATGCCTAGCAATAAATAGCATAAATTTAAAATTAGTGGGGTTATAGTTAGTCAGATTTCAATGTTTTGGAAGAAGCTCATATAATTTGTAAAATAATTGGCAACAATGTTTTGCTAATCTTGATTCTAGTTTATATTCATTTCCATTAAGTTATGTATGAGTCAGTAACATTTGGAAGACATTTGATAACTTCAGGGGTAGATTTATCGGCATCTTATCTCCTTTTAAATATATAACACGATAATGGTGTTTCTTTTGGTGCGTGGTAGTACTGTTGAGGGATATCACATTTCAAAATAATCAGATTTGTAATTGTTTTATATAGCAACTCCAGTGGCTTATGTGAAACTTCCTTAATTGTTAGAAGGATCACTGATTGAAATTTGTAACCTTTGTACACTAATATCTTGGTTCACAAATGTTTCTGTTTGCAGACAATTTGGTTCATAAATCAAAACAGCAATTTTCTGTTTGCAAACTCCATATTAGTTGATTAACATGACCACAGCCATCTTCACCACACAAACACAAAGGCAGCCATCCCCCACCCCCAAGTTATAAAACATATTGTTAACCAAAGGACTTGCTTTTCGCTTTTAGAATGTTGTAGGTATGTTTAATGTTAAGTTTGTCTATACTATAATTGCATAGAAGACACATTTCTAGCCAGGCATGGTAGTGCACACCTGTAATCCCAACACTCAAGAGGCTGAGGCAGGAGTATTGTTACAAGTTTGAGGCCAGCCTGGGCTACATAGTGAGTTCAAAACCAGCCTAAACTGCATAGTGAGACTTTGCCTACAAAATCAACATAACAACCTCCCCAAAACATTTCTGCATATATAACTCACACTTCAGACTTCTGTAAAGTGTAGGTATAAAAATTATACCTGAAGTTTTGGGTTTAAAAATCAAGTTTATGACTTTTTAAGTAAACATGTAAGAGGGTAGAGGGTTGTTTTAAACTTCTTTTTTTTTTTTTTTTTTGTTGCTCGAATGCCTTCAGGGCACTTTTGGCCAGCGGGAGAGGTATGAGGTTCAAACTCCAGCAACCTGAGGCTGACAGCTTTGTGGAAGCAGCCACTTAAAGGCCTGAGCTAGGGCCAGGCCCCCTGTTTTAAACTTCTTGCAAAATGCTCAGAACCATTAAGTTCTTAAATTTATCATCTTTAGCATTTATGTGCTCTCATCTTACAGATGAAGAAATTATGGTCTACAATTATATGAATTAAAGTCTAAATGCTAACAGTGCACAGCCAGGGTTAGAATTCAGTCTGTTGCTGTTTTCATAGTACGATGCTATACACAGATATGTGTTGAAGACAAACATGAATTGAGAAAGAAGTATTTTTTAAAAAGTTGGTTTTGGATTGAAGGTATGCACTTCAGAATTTATATGTTTAGCTCAGTAAAAGTATCACCAGTTAGACTTAACTGGCAGACTTCTCTGGAAAATAATTTACTTATAAATATCTTTGTTTAGAAAATGTATGTTTAGTCAGTAGTTTTCAGCTTAAGGTTCAGTTGTGATTTCCTATTTGAAGTCTTTGGTGACACACCCCATCTGTTTCTTTGCATGTTTTAGTCACTATATTTAATGTATGTGGAGTTACAATTTCTTTCCTCATGTAGTAGTTCTGTAGAGACGACTTGTCTTGGTAGTTAGAAATATTTTATTCACTTTTTATGTCTAATCTTCTTGCCTGTTAGGTGTTAGATGAATATTTTATGACATTTAGATGAATGGACAAGGTAGGGATTCAGTAAAAACAAAAACTTTACATGCTTAAAGGAAGTGTCCTGGACACTGAAATATATTTCACACATTTTTTTATTTTTTTTTTATTTTTTTATTTTTTTATTTATTTGAGAGAGAGAGAGAGAGAGAGAGAGAGAGAGAGAGAGAGAGAGAGAGAGAGAGGGGTGTGTGTGTGTGGCCAGCTCAGCCCACCAGGGGGCGGGGCTGGCTGGCATGTGGTGCTGGGGGATTGAACCGTGGTCCCCTTGCATTGCTAAGCTTGTTCTAAGTAGGTGCTTTAGACCACTGAGCCATCTCTCCAGCCCCATTTCACACATTTTTAAACTGACACCTTTTACACCCATCTGGCTTCATGACTGAAATTTTGTTTTATTTTTTCTGTATTTTAGGGAAGGGTCTACAAGGTGTTCAGGGTCTCACTACTAGATTGGACTCGTAGTGATTCTCCTGTTTACAACCTTCCACTTGCTGGGATTACAGGTGCACACCACCATGCCCTGTCTCAATTGCTGTCCCAGCCGCGCCCCAGGGGTGGGGCCAACATGGCAGGCCCTGAGATTGAATCCCCGACCCTTGCACCTGCTGCATGGTTGAAATTGTTATCAGAATAATGCTTACTGCTGCTGAAGATACAGTGCTGACAATAAAGCAGTGATTAAATATTTCATATATGTGTTTCATACCTCAAGGATTATATGTAGAATCCAGAGAATGAAAGCTAATGACTGTTCTTTGGGTTAAATAAGCATGTTAGCCTGGTTTCTAATATGTGTATACATAATTAGGTAGAGTGAAATAATAAGCAAATGAAGCTTTCTTGTTTCTGAACACAGTTGAGAAATTTGAAATGCAGAACAAATATATCTTGAAAAGTGACATTAATCTTTTTTTAGTGATTGAAAGCTCTATGTTCTAGATCCATTGGTTTAATCTGAACCCAGGATTTATTTAGGAGTTAAATTCTCTTTTAAATTATTAAATATATTTAAAAGGTAAATATATATGTTTCTGCCTCTACAGAGTTAACACATTTCTCGTGTTCTGTGCTATTTTCAAAAGAATATATGATGTTATATATATGGCAAAATATGGTATAAAACGTCTAGATGTAGCCTACTTTTTCATTCTTGTTGCTTAATAGAACTAAGGGAAACTCAGGTTTTGTTTCAATTTCAGGGTTTGTCTTTATGATTATATGTGCTTTAGGGATCATCTGGTTGAATATGTATTAATTGTGATTAGTGAAAATAAAAGTTTTACTTCAGAGAGAAATTTAAAAATCAGATTTCTGCGTAAAATATTGAACAAGGGAATGGCATGATGGCACATACCTGTAATCCCAGCACTTGGGAGGTTGAGACCGGATTGCTGCAAGATCAAGACTGGCCTATGGGCTACACTTGAAAGTGAGCTCAAGGCCAGCCCCAAATTGTGTAGTGAGACTCTGCCCCACCCCCGCAAAAAAAATCTGAAAAGGGGTTCAGTGATTCCTTTCTTTTTTTTCTTTTGTGTATATATTTAATACAGGGTCTACAGGGTCTCACTACACAGATCAGACTCATAGTAATCTTTCCAATCAATTGCTGTCTCAGCATGCCCTTGGGGTGGGGCTGGCAAGGCATATGGGGATCAAATCCTGGCCGCTGCGCTCGACCTAAGCAGGCGCTTTAGTCTGCAGAGCTATTTGGCTGGCCCTGATTTCTTGGTTTTTAAAGAGTTTTAGTTCTTTAAGTGTGTCCAACTTACATTTTCTAGTTTTTTTGTTTGGTCTCTTAAAAAAATTGATGGTACTAGAGATTGAGCCTGGGATCTTTGCACTGAGCTACATCCCTGCATCTTTTTAAATTGTGAGATGGGGTCTAACTTAAGTTGCTAAGTTGCTCAGATTAGTGTTGAACTTTGTGATCTTCTTGCCTTAGCCTTCAAGAATATTGGCATTACAGGTGTGAATCATTCTGTCCCTATCTTGTCTTGTTTTAAGACTCTTATTTTATTTTTGGTATGATTTCTTTGGTTAGCTTTATTTATATGCATTTTATATTTTTATATTTGTCTAGTGAAATATCTAGCTAAAAATAGAACTACAAGAGAGATAATGGCCTATCAGTTTGTTTCCCTATTTTAAGGAAGATACGAAGCAGTAAATTTAAGCAGTATCTCACCCACTTCGTGTTTTCAATGTATGCTTTATAGATTCTGAAAAATTAGTAGTTTATAGTATAGGTGGGAATCAGGGAAGAACTTACAGAAATTTAGGAGAACTAATTAGTTTATATCAAAGTAACTCTGGGAATTACAGATTTCTGGAAGAGTAGAAAAGCAGAAACATTCTAGTTTCAAACTTGTTTTAGTTGTACCTTTCCTTAGTTGTTATATTAATAACCCATAATTGAAAATTAGCAAGCACCTAATTTCTATGCCATTTATATTGCTGGTGCACCCTTAAAAATTATATTTAAGGGGCTGGTGAGATGGCTCAGTGGTCTAAAGCACCTACTTAGAACAAGCTTAGCAAAGCACAGGGACCGCGGTTCAATCCCCCAGCACCGCATGCCAGCCAGCCCCAACCCCTGGTGGGCTGAGCTGGCCACACACACACAAAAGCCTAAAAAAAAACAAAACTATATTCTCTAGGATCTCAAGGACTAACTAATCAAGAGAGGGAAAGGAGAAGAGCTAGGAAACATGACAAGGTCAAGCCATACGGTTATATGTAAAAGATGAGCAAGGCAATGATCCTGAGAATCTTCAGAAGATTTTTGAATCTAGCAGTTAATTGGAAAGATTCTCACCCTGATTAAATATATATACTGATACCTGTGAACTAAGCTACTGCACTGCAGATGGTAATTTGTAACAGTAGTTTCATGTTTGGAGTGCCTGTCATTCTGGTATTCTGAATATGGGCGGCTTGTCATGACATGCCATTTACTGCTATGATGTCTCTCGGGTAGGTGGATGTTCAAGAAGAAGGGGGTGGTGAATGAAAGCAAGAGACAGGAAAAGGAATATTGTGGGACTGTCCTGCTTCAAGGTTGTATATGATGAGATTTTTGGACTTATGTGCAAACATGAGAAGCATAGAATTCTTTATCCTATTTTTAAAATATAATGTAAATTAAAAAATGTTTTTATCATATTATGCAGGGACTTAAAGTTCAACATATCAATACTTGATGAAAAATAACTGCTCCTTATTATGCCTAAGATGTTTGAAATGCAGAGAGATAGTGAGGTTAAGCTTAATAGCCTAAATCGTTTGATAATAACAATAAGCTTGTCTTCTGGATGGTTAACAACCTAGTTTGCAGACCAAAATTAGAGAAAAAGGAGGGTTACAAGGAAAGCCAACATTTTGGCCCTAGCCTTCTAAGGTCAATTAAGACTCAGGACATATGAGAACTTGAACTGTAACGTCATGTACCTTGGTAGTGTCCCAAATTTTCTGATCAAGAAGATTATGGGGCCAAAGAGGAAAGTCATTGATGACATAGAGTGTGCCTAAGGAGAGTCACATGGGGAGAAGACACTCCCTCAGGCTTTCACAGAGAGCACATTGGTCAAGCAATGGCCGTGACTCATCCACATGGCTGCACTGATAAAGGTTCTACAATCTGAGGTACAGGATCTCAGGATAAATCCTGAGGGCATTTTATTGACCTTCTCAGACCAAAAAGCTACAACTCTTGTTGCATAGGTCCTGCTTTACCTTGGTCTTAACCATCCAGTAGAAAAGTATGAAGACGAAATAGAGGAAATAAAGCCATGCTGTTAAGTTGAGCTGTGGAGGACTCAGGTCAATAATTTCTGACATTGCCAGTTAAACAGAAGACCCAATGCTATAATGGGCTACTGGACTCTTTTAGAATATTTTGCTGAGTTTACACACCTATAATATTCAATAATGGAACTTAGAAAAAATGGGGTATACCAATGAATGTCCATTTTGTATCTGTGTATTCAAAGTGGTTAGGATAGATATATAGTTGCATTCTCTTAATGAATAGAATGATTTGTTCTAATGGTGTTTGTAAATAGGATCACAAGTCCACTTCTTGTACAGCAATTTACCACTGAGAAGAATATATGCAGTGTATTATTTGTTGAAACTGTACTTCCGATTTGATTTGAAACTGTCTCATTGCTATCTGTTTATCAATAAAACTTTGAAAAAAATTATATTTAAAAGCTTTTAACGTAGTAATTTGTAGCATCTCATTTTCCAAAATGGCTGTTTGTTGATTTAAAAAAAAATGGTTGATGTTTTGTGCGTTCAATTTCTGGTTTTCTGCTCCTTTTCTTGTTTGCAACACCATGAAACCTGATTTGCTGTTAAACATTTTTTAAAGTTTTGTTGAAAATGAGTACCTTTTCTAGATAACAAATTCATTTTCTGAATTATAGCTCAGAATGTCATTATATTTAGTTGGGACAAAAACAGCACAATGTACTGGGTTAAAAAATTTTTTCTAGGATATTTCTTTAGTGTATATTTATAAATTTATGAATATGGTTATCTCTGTGATGACTAACTACTGCTGAAAAGGAAGATTTTAGCAAGTGCATAATTGGAATATACATGTACAAGTATATTTGCATGTAGAGACACCAAGGGAGGTCATGTATGTTTTGGAGTGATGAAGTACAATGCTTGGAAAAAATGGCTAGAAATGTAGTGAATAGAAAAATGTGTTGAAGTATTGGTTTATGTCTTCTTTTCTATCTTAGGGCAGAACCTTTTTGGGGAGCTTGATTTTTGAAAAGGAAATAAAAATGAGAATTAAAGCAACCAATCAAGATGGAACAGTTATTGCTCAGGCTGAATATGACAGCGTGGATATAGGAGAAGAGGTGGCTAAGAAAGGATTTGCAGAAAAATGTCAGCTCACTTCTAGCACCAACATCTGTGAAGAAAAAAAATCAGATCCTAGTCAGCTTGCTCTCAGGAACCTCAAGAATCCCATTCCCTTGTGGGGTCACAGATCAAATCAGCCACACTTCAGTAGGCCAAAGGGGCGCGTAAGTGGGAAGCTGACTCTTAACTTGAAGAATGAAAATGATTCAGGGAATCATATGACATTTTCAAAGTAAGAATATGATGGAATTTTTAGTTTTAACAACTTTCAAATGTATAGTAGCCCTTGTAGAAGTGGATGCTTATGCTTTTGGAATATTATGTCAGTAATTTTGGTGGATGATACTGATAATATTTTTTCAAATATGTTCCTTTGCTTTAGCAGCAATATTTTCATTAATGAAGTTTGAAAGGAAAATCATTCCAGAAATTTTTAAAGTTCACAAGTAAATTTTCATGCCAAATCCTTTGAATAAGTTTATTAAAAATCTATCTCTAAATGTGAATTACTCAGGCATAAACAGAATTTCTTATCATATTTGAAATTGGGACAGGGATGTAGCTCAGTGGTAGAGCATATGTTTATCACATATGATTCTCTGTTTTGAATCCATAGCATCAAAGAAACAATTGTTGATTTTCTTTGGCTATATATTTTTTGTCTTTTTTAACAAAAGAAATGTTCTTCAATCTTTCTGTGAAAACGTGTTGTGATGGAATATGATTATTCTGAAGGAGTTCACCTTTAAACATTTTTATTTGCAATTGGTAATAATTAAACATATTTATGATGTACCATGTGACATCTTCATACAGGTATACAATATATAATGATGAGATCAGGAAAATTGGCACATCTCTCACCTCAGGCTTGTATGATTTCTTTAGGGCTTCCCTTGGATAATTTTGAATTACCAATTTGAAGGAACAATCACATTTATTTATATATACAGTATTATATTTTGATTCCATATTTTGGGTAATGCAGTGGTTTTATGAGATAGTATCAGTACTTTAGGAACAGAACTGTCAAATAGGATGAGGATAATGGTGGAAGGTGGAAACGCGGTTTATTCTGTTCTCTGGAATTGGTAGTACCATGTAGAATTTGGAATGTGGGAGAATTGGAGACATTACTTTTGAAGTGTAATTAAGTCGTAAGACAGTCTGTATTACATTAAATAATTTTTAAAATACTGAATTAGATAAAGATTTCATTTTCCAATATTAACTCTAAGATACGGTGTAAAATGATATAAAACCCTAAAATTTTAACTTGTGAACTCTGTCGGTTTTACACAGTTTTTGAGAAATTAATTTTATTTTTAAAAGGGAAAGTTTGGCTGTTGGTGCCTTTAATTTAGGATCTAATGTCAGCCTGGCAAAAATAAAGCAGGACCAGAAGCTGATTGAAGAAAATGAAAAACTTAAAGCTGAGAAGGAGAGTCTTCTTGAAAGTTACAAGGCATTAGAATTGAAAGTAGAACAAACTTCTCAGAATCTGCAGGTAGGTGGCAAAAAGTGTTATTTGACTTTTAAAACCAGAAATGCTGACGTATGAGATGTTTTTTCTAAACTAAAACCTTAGTATTCAGGTTTAATTGCAATGTTGGTACTTTGTGATGATTAAATGAGTTTTGAGTTGCCTAAAAGCTTTGCCATTATTGCCTTAGGGTAAAGAATATTTAACAGGGAAATTTGCATACTAATTTGCTCTTACTTAATTTCTGGTCAGTTTTTCCTCTTTTCCTTCCCTTTCTTCATATTTTTCTTTCTTTGTATTTGCTTGTAGATGATTATTTTCATATAGTTCATACTAATAATTTTTAGATTTCATGGAAGTTTAATCATTTCTCATTTCCATTTTGTTTTGAAAGATTTATCAGGAAAATTTTCAAACATTCCAGGAGAGAGAAATGAACAATTTGTCTTCATGTGTTCATCATCCGTTTTTTTCAGACTTGGGTTTGGCAGTCTTTTCTTAAATCTGTACTTCATGGATTATTTTAAAACAAATTCTATTTATATTTCATATTCTTCAATATGTAACTATAGCCAATAGAAAATAACTTGTAAGAAATCCAGTGGCTGATATTGTAGCTCAGTGGTAGAGTGAATGCCCTAATTTTAATTCCTAATGTCCCCAACTCACAAACAAACAACCCCCTCCCACAAACCACAGCCATAATATTGTATATACAGAAATTAAGCAAGAATTCCTTAATGTCATTTAACATCTAGGTAATGTTCAGGTTTCTTAAACAGCCATACAGAAGCCCTTTTACAATTGATTTCTTCCAATTATGACCCCAGTTAGGCTGATACATTGCATTTTGGTTGATTTTTCTCTTAAATGCTTAATCTACATGCTTGTATTCTTTATCTTTTTTTGTTTTTTGATAATGTCTTAAGATATTTTTTCCACAGTCAGGGTCAGTTTTTCCCCCACTTCCAGAATAGTATGTGGTTTGTTTTCTTTCTTTCTTTCTTTCTTTCTTTCTTTCTTTCTTTCTTTCTTTCTTTCTTTCTTTCGAGTGGGGAGATTCACTGGGGATTGAACATAGGGTCTTGTGCATGTAGCCAGGCAAATGCTATACCACTAAGGTACATTTCCAGACCGTGTGTGGTTTTCATGGGTTCTTTTTTCTGACACTACACATAAGTTCTCTAATTCTCTTAATGCTGCTGTGACCCTGTCTAACAATTCACTTCAGTTCTGGCACTAACGTTTTTTCCACTATTTTTTTTATTGGTAATACAGATTACTGGGTTTCATTTTGGCAGATTTATACCCTGAATGTGATGTACTTTGATCATTTTCACACCTGTGCTTTACTCCCTTTGTCCTGTCACTCCTCTGATTTCATTTTAATTTTTGGGGATTGAATATATACAGTATATTTTGTTTGTATTCATCCCCCATTACTGACACCAGTTTGTATAACTTTTAATGTTCTATTTAACTATGCTTAGAAATCTTTTAAATAATAGCAGATAGCATTTCTTATTTGAATCTTACTAGGATTTCTTGTTCCTTTTAGAAAGAAAAAGAAGCCACTATGAATTTGACCAAATATTTAGAAACTAGCCTGAAGACTTATATAGGAACGAAAATGAAAAATCTGGCCACTAAGGTGGAACTGCTAAAAGAAATTAGGTATGTAAGAGTGCCAGTTATTTGGTGTGTTAAATTGTGTACCCATTATTTTTGGTAATCTTCTTCCCTGACTCCCTTTCCTTTGTCTTTCTCAATTCAATAATTCTTTCCTTTTGAATAGGTTCATTCCTTTTTACCAGTGTCTATTGTACCCTTAAGATTCCATTTTTCTCTTTCATGTCCTCACACTAAAGAGACAATACAGTGTTGGTACATGTGGGTCTGATTTATTTCACTTAAGAGTATGTTCTGTAGCTGTATGCATTTACCAACAAAAGACCCAAATTTATCCTTTTTTATAGCTGAGTAATACTCCTTTGTGTATAAATATCACATCTTTCTTATCTGTTCTTCAGTTGATAGGCATCTGGGTTGTTACCAGGATTTAGCTATAACAAATTGCGCTGCTATAAACATGGGTGCACATATGTCACTGTGGTGTGAGGTTTTGAGTTCTGGAAAAATATCCAGGAGGGGAATAGCTGACTTGAACAGGATCTCCAATCCTAACTTTTGAAGGAATCTACACACTGATTTTCATGGTGGTTGTAACAGTCTGCATTCCCACCAACAGTGCAGAAGGGTGGGTTCCTTTTTCTCCACAGCCTCTCCAGCATTTGTTACTGGCTGACTTCTTCATGCTAACCATTTTTTTCTGGGGTAAGATGGAATCTCAGTGTTTTAGTGATGTTGAACATTTTTTCATATATTTACTTGCCATTTGTATTTCTTCTCTGAGAAGTGTGTATTCATCTCAGATGCCCATTTTTGGATTGGGTCTTTGAATTGGGAGCCTGATTTTTTAAAAAATTCTTTGTATGTTATAGATCAAAGGCCTTTGTCTGAAGGATAGTCGGCCATAAGGTTTTCAACTTTGTTGGTTTTCTTTTTACTCTGTTGGAAATTTGCTTTGAAATGCAGAAACTTTTCAAAAAGATGAATCCCAGTTGTTGAGTCCTTGAAGTATTTTCCATGTAGTTTGGTTTTTGTTCATGAGCTCTCTACCTATCCCTGTGTTTAAGATTTGTAGCTACCTTTTCCTCCAGAAGATTTAGTGTTTCTGTTTTAATATTTAAATCTTTGATCCATTTTGACTGTGGCTTTGTGCATGGTGATAGGCATGGGTCTAGTTTTAGCATTTGGCATGTGAAAAGCCAGTTTTTCCAACACCATATATATATATATATTTTTTGCTCCGAATGCCTTCAAGGCAAGTTTGGCTGGCTTGAATAGTGGGGATCGAACTACAGCAACCTGAGCCTGACTGCTTTGTAGAAGCAGTCACTTAAAGAACTGAGCTAAGAGGCAGGCCCCCAAACAGAAAGCAACTTTTTTTTTTTTTTTTCCCAGAACCTGGGATTGAACTCAGACCCTTGCACTTGCCAGGGAAGCACTTATTCTACTGAGCAATCTCCTTGGCCCAACACCACATTATTAAAGAGGCTATCTTTCTTCTGGAGAACCTGCTTGGCCCCTTTACCAAAGATAAGGTGGCTGAGTGTTTGCAGCTGTGTCTTTATCTTCTAATCTGTTCCATTGATCCTCAGATCTGTCTCTATTGCCAGTACCATGCTGATTTCATGATAGTAACTTTATAGTATAATTTCAAGTCAGGGATTATGGTAAGTCTTACCTTTTCTTTGTTTCCCAGGGTTGCTTTTGACATTCTGGGTTTCTTCTGATTCCAAATGAGTTTGAGGAATGTTTTATGTATCTCTGTGAGCTATACTAATGGTATTTTAATCAGGATTGCTTTGAATCTGTATAACAGTTCAGTAGTATGGCCATTTTCACAGTGTTGGTTTTTTCTCTCCAGGAGTATGGAATGTTTTTTCCATTTACTCAAATCTTTTTAGTCTCTTTTCTCAGACTACCATAATTTTCACAGTA